AGTGCACATCATCGATTACTTTCATTAAAATCATATACAAATGAAATTTTATTTATATTTGGAAAAAAAACTACGAATAAATTTTAATTTTAAACGAGTAACAAAAAGACTCGAAAGAAATTCTTCGATATATCACCAAAGATGCATCCAAAAAATTGATAAAACATAAATTTTATATATGAATCTATGCTAAAAATATAATTGAATTATGTATATTTTACCTTTATGTATTTGAAATAGATCAGAAGAGATTGATTGTGGAACATTTTTGAAATTATTTGTATGCATATCACACTGAAGCAAATTTATTATGCTTTGAATAAATATTATATTATATGCATATATTTATGTCTTTTATAAATGCCGAGATAAAATGAAGATAAAAGCCTGGGCTAAAATTACAAAAAAGTTTAGACTAAAATTGAGAAATGTCGAGACTTAGAAATATAAGAAAAGTCTCTGACAAGACGAGAGTTTTATGGGAAAAAGCCCCACATTTATTGAATATCATTCACTGTTTCCACTGAATTCAGAAATTATTTGATTTATAATCAGAACAAATTTATTATTTATACATTTGGATGAAATCAAACAATGATAACTTGAATTTTATATTTACTATTATTTAAATATATTGTATTTCCACACGTTTTTGCTTCTACTAGAATATAGTATATAATTTTGCAGATGCATTCTAAAAATTGTTCACCTTTATGTTTGAATCTATGCCAAAAATATTTGCAATATGAATATTTTACCTTTATGTATTTGAAAACGATCTAATTGTGGAATATTTTTAAAATTATTTAAAATAGCGAGAAATGCCAAGGACCAGGCTGATCTAGAGAGAAAGCTAAAAAAATAGGCTAAAACGAAAAATGTTCTGACTAAAATTTTAAGAATTTATGGGAAAAAGTCCTACATACATTGCACACCATTGACTACTTTTATTGAACTCATATACAAATCGAAATTTAACTTATATTTTGAAGAAAAACCATGAATGAATTTTAATATCAACAGAAATTGTTTGATTTATTATTATCAAAGATGCATCCAAAAAATTGATAAAGAATTTACTTCATGTATAAATCTACATATTACCTAAATATCAACGATTCCTTAGGAACTAAAAGCATTTTTCTTCTTGCATTTAAAAACTATCTGATTGTAAAATATTTTTAAAACTATTCACATACTTTATATAGAAACAAATTTATTATGCTTGTATATATATTATATTACAGACCTATTTCATATATTTTTATTTAATTTTGCATTTTTAAAATGTGCCGCAAACTTTTTATCTACGTTTATAAACCACGTTGTTTTCTGATATTTATAAAATATACAAATGCATCAATATATATATATATATATATATATATATATATATATATATATATATATACATTTCAACAAAACCTTCAGTTCACGTATACATCTTTTAAATTTATATTTAAAATTTATTATTTACATTATATATAATTATATAAAATTGATAATTTAAAATCCAACAATACATTTTATATTTACAATTACTCTCTTATATGAACAACCATCATATGCATTTTCAAAATACTTAAATGTCTGAATTTCTTTATAGCATTCTTTACATAAAAAATTTGAATAATTTATCACATATTATTTACTATAAATTTAATCTATATTTGATATTTATTATGAATCAATTTTTATGAAAATTTTAGTGATATCTACTTTTTTTCAACATTAATTAGGCATAAAACACCTTTCTATCTTTTGCCCTTGAATTTTATATAAATTATCTTGGTATTTTAATGACAATTTCATTAATCACATTGTGAATATTTTTTTGGTTGGTCCTGAGGTTTTTATTATTTTGGATTTATGGATTTTGAAAGTCCCCTGAAAACAATTTATACATGTTACATATTTTCATATGTTTTTTATTTAATTTTACATTTTCAAAATGTGCTTCAAACAATTTATTTATTAGTACCCACATCCCAATTTTTGGCAATTCTAAATTTTAATAATATTTGTTAAACTATCTTTTTTTATATTGTATTTTATGATTGAAATTAACTTTGGTTGAACTTTCGTATTAATTTGTGGCTGTCTTACCTATGAATATACTATCATAATTGTTTGGTATCTTTTGTAACTAATATATCTTTATAGATGCTTTAAAATTGAAAAAAAAAACACCTTTCCTATTTCTTACACATTATGTATATAATTGTATGATTCATATTACTTCTGATAATTTTGTTAAAACTGTTTTGCTATATAATAATTTTGACTTTTTTAAAAATATCTTACTGCTTTATTATATTTTATATTTAAAAATATTAACTGAATAAATTTATTAACGACAATCTACAATAATTTTTATAAGACTTATGATATTTATCCACTTATGATTATTATCCAGTAATGCATTTTTAAATTCGATTTTCGGTTTTCTAGTTTGGCTAATATTCATACATATTGCATTTTTAACCAATTGCAACTTCTACTAGCATATACTATATGATTTTAATTAAATACATTGACAAATCTTTTATCCTTTTAAACATTTTCAAATATTTTGAACTTACTAATTCGAAAGCTTTGAATTTTGAAAAACTCGTATCAAGTCAAACACCTTTGGAACAATTTAAAAATGAATATTATTTATGCCAGCCGTATTTTGAGCAAAAATTTAAATATTTATAAATAAAAATAAATATCTCAATGTTATATTTTTATGTTTTTGGCAAATCGACCTACCTTTTCCAATTCCAATGAATATGGTAAAAGGCCAAATCTTTTGTAGAAATTAAAAGGAGCTTTTGTGTTAGAATTTAATTATGTACTCTAAAATCAACGATTCATATGAAACCTAGTTTATTCAATTTTTTTTAATAACTAAATTATCTATTTTAGTAATAAAAAAAAATAATTAAATCTTTGACTATTTTATTGAATTCTTATACATCACAAATGTTTGGGCAAAAATTACGAAAAAAGTCGAGGCTAAAAACTCACCAGAAATCTAGTATAAAATTAGAAATGTCTAGGGCAAGAAATTACAAGAAGACCTACATTTTTTTTAAATTATTTACATACCTAAATATAAACATATTTTCTTTACATTGTATAAATAATGTATTATTATTTTCCTATTTTTCATATTTCGTATTTCGTATTATTATTTCTACTATTTTCATATATTTTTATTAAATTTTACATTTTTAAAATGTGTTTCAAACTTTTTTCAATCATCAACCACATATTAATTTTTGGCAATGCAAAATTTTAGTAATATTTATTATACTAACTATCTCTTGATTGAATATCAGTCTAAGGTGAACTTTTATGTAGAAAAAAATTTTTTTTTTATGTATGATATTAATATTTCGAAGTATGTATTAATTGCATCAATTTATAATAATTCTTTAAATAAATTTGAAAAATAAACTAAATCTATAACAAACCGAGCATCAGAGTCATAGATATGAAAAATAATATATTAGTGAATTTTTCATTATTCTTTGGTCATATTAAAAATATACATGGATTTTAATATTATTTCATGGTGAGATACTTTTATATGCCTTTGACCAGGAAAAAAAAACAAATTTGCTTGAACAGTACTCCTTTTTGAAATTGACTCTTTTTAATACTTCCAAAAATCCTATATATGTATTTACATAGCAGGGAAATTGTTGTAAAAAAAAATTACATTTTTAACAAATATTTTGCCTCTCAAAAATTTTTCAATTAATTTTTGCAGTACTGCTATTTATATGTAAGACTTCAATATATATTCATTGTGTTACTATTTATTGTTATTATATTTATTGTGTCTAAAAATTTGAAAATTATTTTAAAACACAATTTTTCAAATTACAAACTAATTTAATAATATTTATACTATTTATACTATTTATACGAAACCAATAAAATGTTTGTTTTCATCATTTATTTTGAAAGGAAAATCATTGTTAACGAATTTATCATCGTCTTGAATATAATTTTTGTTTTTAACAAAATACAACTAAAATCTTAAGATGTATTAAAATCTCGCACTGTAACCCAGGACATAATGATTTAAATTATTGGACAAAAGGGATTCTACTGACGATCAAACTGAGTTAAAATAGAAAAGAGACCCTACTGACAAATTACAATAAAATGAAAAGGACTCTACTGCCAAACAAACTAAAGTAACTAAAGTACTCTACTGGCGAGCAAACTAAAATGAAATTGAAAAGGGGACTCTACTGACAAAAGGGACAAAAAGGGATTCTACTAACAAGCAAACTAAAATAAGAGAGAAAAAACGGGACGAGCAAACCGAAATTCATAATGCTAGTCATTGATTTGTAACAAAAAAAGGACTCTACTGACGAATAAACCGAAAATAATAATGTTAGTGAACAATTTGCAACTTCCAACAAAACAGGGACTCTACTGATCTGAGAAAAAATAAAATGGAACTCTACTGACGAGCAAACTGCAATAAATAAAATTAGTCATGAATATGCAGCAAAAACGAGCAAATTGAAATTCATATTACTCATCGGTTTGCAATAAAAAGGAACTCTACTGACAAGCAAACTGAAAATCATAATATAAGTTAAAAATTTGCAACAAAAAGGGACTCTACTGATGATGAAATTGGATTGAAATGGAAAAGAAACTCTACTGACGACGAAGTTGAAATAAAATAGAAAAGGGACTCTACTGACGAACAAACTCAAATTAGAGACAAAAAGCAGCAAACTGGAATAAAAGACAAAAGGGACCCCACTGACATGCAAATTAAATCTGTTAAAAATATTTAAGAGAAACACTTGGAAAATTTCTATGCAAAAAGGAACTCTACTGACGAGCAAACTAATGCAGCAAAATAAGAGAGAAAAAGGACTCTACTGGCGTGCAAAATATATTTTGTTTTTGTATTTTCGAAAGGGACTCTACTGACTAACAATTTAAACTTATAAAAATATCAATAAAGTAAATAAGACATGTTAAGTCACCTGATAAGCAAATTCAATTTGTGCAAAATATTAAAGGGAAATGTTTTTGTATAAATGTTAAGACAAAAAGGGATTCTACTGATGAGCAAAATAATAAAGAGAAATGTTTAAAAAATATTAATAAAAAAAGAAACTACCAACTAACAAATACGACATGAAGAGAAAAAGAACTCTACTGACCAGCAAGCACGATTTGAAGAGCGAAAAATGACTCTACTGAGAAAGAACTCTACTGACAAGCAAACATGATCGACTAAATTGATCAAAATTGAACTCTACTGACAAGTATATACAAGAAAAAGGACTCTACTGACGAACAGACACGATTTAAATTAAATTAAGGAACTTCACCGACGAACGAACTCGATTTTTGGAAAGTAAAATAGAACTCTACTGACGAGCAAACTGAAAACTTTTTGAAAAAAAGTTTCTAAAGCAATTAGTAAAATCACAATTAAACATTCTGTACAGATCAGAATTAAGGACGATTGAGAAAAGGACTTCACTTACAAGCTTATTCAATTTCAGGAAAGTAGAATAGAACAGTACTGACGAACCAATATGATTTAGAGAGAAAAAAAGGGAATTTACCTAACGAACAAACACGATTTGAAGAGAAAAAAGGAACTCTACTGACGTATAAACTACGATTTTAAAGTGAAGAAAGGAACTCTACTGACGAGCAAACGCAATTTAGAATAAATTAATGACTTAAAGTTTAAAAAATCCTCTAGTAATGATAATAATATCAAGTAAATTAAAAAAGAACTCTACTGACAAGCAAACTAAAACTTTTACAAATGCAATTGCTATTTCAACCAAAGTGCTCTGTATGGATTAGAAACAAAGAACTCTACTCACGAACAAATAATATTTAAAGACAAGGAGAACTCTACAGAATCTGATTTGGAAAGTTAATAATATATTTAGTTTCTCAAAATTTCTTCTTATTACCTTTTTGGGTTTTTCCTTCGTGTCATTATCATCAATATCTGGTACAATTTGCATATCAATATCACTATTTGGTCCTCTGTTTGAAAAAATAATACTTTCAAGAGCACCTCGTACTTTTGTGGCAGTGTATCTTCTATCTGGATCCAGCACTAGTAATTGTCTTATTAGTATTAGGGTACTGTTCGATACCCTACCATCCCTGAAAAAAATAATATATATATATATATATATATATATAAATAAATAAATATATATATATATATATATATATATATATACATATATGTGTGTGTGTGGGTGTTTGAATTAGATAGTTAATTGATTAGATAATCTGTGACATAAATAGTTGATTAGTTGTTAATAAAACATATTGATGTTTACTATAATTTTGAGAAATATTAATAGCGGGATTACAGTAGTGATTACAATATATATGTATAATTTATTTCACATTATCTGACAACAAATTACTTGCAATTTTAAATTTTAAAAAATTTCAAGTGTTAATTCTCGCGATTTTCAATATAATGATGATCTAATGATAATTTAAATTAATATATAAAGCAAAGTTTTATAGACATTTTTAACTTATAATTTGTACAAAAATAATAATAAGCAGTAATCTTATCTTATTGATACTTATGGACCGATTCTGCGCATAACAGAGAAATGTTACGGGATGGCTATGTTACTCTCCGACTCCCCATACATTATGCGAATGAATCATACTGAATGCTGTCAAAATATCATGTATTTGCTGTTCATTCCGGCGTTTTAAACATAAACTGCAACGTCACTCGTATCTTACCTAAGAGGAATCAGAAACACACACTTATCTAACATCGTTTTTTTGACATTTGTGCGGCTTTTAGGTTATGTTTTGTATGAGAAAACCTGAGAAATTCGCCTGACTGAACACCAACCGCATAACTTTTGTCTATATTACTATGGAAAATTCTTCATAACATGAACTTATCATAACATTGCGGCAGAATCGGTCCCTTAATTTTATCTCTTAATTATGAAAGATTTTATCTCTTAATTATGAAAGCATAAATTCAAATATCAACGGTCAAAAATGAAGTGACAGCGCCAACTGCGAACAACTTCAGAGTGTCAGGTACTTTGTTAAGGGGGTCTTCCTATGTGATGAGTTGAAAAAATTGAATTTTTTTTTATTTCATATTTCGGTAGATTATTCCTTTAAAAATAACATATTAAAATTTCAAATCGATATCTCAAATAGTTTTTGAGTTACAGCCATTTAAAAAGTATACATATAGTATATAGTACAACGATCATTTTATCTTTAAACGCGTTTTTCTCAAAACTGTGTTTTTCAAACTTGTCTCCATTGTATCTCAGAAACGGCTGGACCGAATTACTTGAAATTTACAGGGCACATTCAATATATTTAAGCGTTCAATCAATCAAAAATTTCAAAACTTCGATTTTTTATAGCAAAAAAACAAAAAAAAAACCGCCTAATTTGCAACTTTTATTTCAAATGTCTATAAAACATCCAATTTTTTTTGTATTTATTTGATTGTAGTTCATTCCGTGTTTTTAAGCCTACAAATTAAAACGCCGTTTATTTTTTTTTGATCAGATAAGCCGATCAGCCGGAATCGTGGAGACAGTGGGAGCTCTTTTTTTTGAGGGGGGGGGGGTGTTTAGAGCGCTGTAACTCTAGTTGGACTAAATTTTTTTAGCTGAAATTTTATATTTATACTGTCCAAATATGTATTAATAAATGATAAAAAACTTGAAGCTCTAACTATTTACTGGTCGTAGAAAAAAAATTCTAAAATATCCCTAAAAAACAGGCCGTCACATAGGAAGACCCCCTTAAATAATAAATTCAGTAATTATTTTTAATACTTCTTCCCTAATAATAATTTTGAAAATGGTCTTAACTAATAAATAAACTGATTAAACTTTTTTAGACATTTCTTTAATTTATAATTTGCGCAAAAATAAAAATAACAATAACAAGAAACACATTTTATAAGATTCAAATTTAAACAGTTGACAGTACGAACTGCAAACAACTTCAGAGTGTTAGGTACTTTGTTTAAAATTAAATGCAAAAATTATTTTTAATACTTTTTCCCTAATAATACTTTTAAAAATGTTTTTAATGAATATATAAACTCATTGAAATTTTTTTTTGACATTTCTTTAATTTTTAATTTGCGCAAAAATAAAAATAACAATAACAAGAAACACATTTTATAGGATTCAAATTTAAACAGTTGACAGTACGAGCTGCAAACAACTTCAGAGTGTTAGGTACATTGTTCAATATTAAATGCTGTAAATTATTTTTAATATTTTTCCTTAATAATAATTTCGAAAATGGTTTTAATGAATATAAAAACTAAATATACTTTTTTAGACATTTCTTTAATTCATAATTTGCGCAAAAACAAAAATATAAACTGATTAAACTTTTTTAGACATTTCTTTAATTTATAATTTGCGCAAAAATAAAAATAACAATAACAATAAACACATTTTATAAGATTCAAATTTAAACAGTTGACAGTACGAACTGCAGACAACTTCAGAGTGTTAGGTACTTTGTTCAATTTTAAATGCAGTTAAAGTAGAACGACAGGAGCAAAATTATTTTATGTTTTATATGTATGTATCATTTATATTTTATCTACTTACACTGGTAAAATATAGTCAGCTGACTTTATCTTTGAAAATAATACTGTAGGTGAAGAATCATAGAATGGAAATTGGCCATAGAGCATCGTGTATAAAACTACACCCAAGGCCCACATATCGGAGGGTTTGCCATGATATGGATGTCCACATAGGACATCTGGAGATATGTATGCTGGTGAACCTAGAAGGTAAATAATATTTATTTTATATAATTATATAATATAAAATTAATAAAAAAAAGTATGTGATAAGTCTTAACAAACCTCTTTGATCATTTAACAAGTCACTTTCTCTTGATAAATGTTTTCCTAGGCAGAAATTTGTTATTGTGACTTTGTTTGTTCTACGGTTTAAAACTAAATTGCCTAATTTTAGGTCACGGTGTACTATATTTTTCTGAAAAAAAAAGAAACAATTATATATATATACGAGGTCTGTTCAAAAAGTACCCGGAATTTTCGTTTTCTCAAAAAAATATTTATTTATTCGTCTACATTAATGTGGTCCCCTTCAAAGTAGTCCCCCCCAGATATAATACACTTATGCCAGCGTTTTTTCCAATTTTCGAAGCACCCTTGATATTCACTTTTTGATATGTCCTTGAGCACTCTCGGCGATTTTCTTCAATCGAGGAAAACCGCCGTCCTTTCATGGGTCTCTTCAACTTTGGGAATAGGAAAAAGTCACACGGAGCCATATCTGGTGAATTTTTGCACTTTGCAACACTTTATTTCATTTTTTACGCAAAATTTAATACAAATTCTTTGACTTTTCAATTCTTCCATTGTAAAAATCGCCGAGCTCAGAAAAACACGTCGAACCTTAGCGACTACCACAGACAAAGTAAACAGTGAATATAGCTGAAAATTTCATCATACTTTAGGGGCATGTATACCAACACAATAAAAAAAAAATTTTTACAATCAGACACTCCAGACCCGCGAAATTTAATTATTAGTAATTCCGGGTACTTTTTGAACACACCTCGTATATATATATATATATATATATATATATATATATATATATATATATAATATAAATATACTTTACCTTGTGTAAACTTTCAACTACGCATATAACATTATAAAATATAGCAACGGCCGCACGTTCAGACAATTTTTTCTCTCGAATCACATAATGCTGAAGATTTACTAAGGCTGCTGATTTTTCACTAAAATAATAATAATAATTTATTGAATTAAATATATATATATATATATATATATTTATATTATATTTAATTTATATTTTATTACCAAAAATCATGTGGACTAATACAGTCTAATACTAAACACAGTCTTGTTTTCATTTTCCCTGAATAAATTGGTCCGAGAGTAGGATGTAGGATTTCTTCGGGTGTTGTATCCTAAAAAATAAAGAATAAAGTATAATTGTTAATTTAATTATGAATTATTATGTAAAAAATTGTATTTCCGAAGTTAAAGTTATTCTTAATCGTTTGAATCATAAGACAAAACTGATTTATAAAAACGTCTTTGCGAATTGCGAATTTAAAGTTTATCCTTTTTTTTCAAGATTGTAGGTAATGTAATTAGCGTTTTGATAGTATATAATAATATATACATGTTTACACAATTTTTTTTAATGTATTTCAAATTTGAATTTTAAATCTTAACGGTTGAAGTAAACGCGCGAACTTCACACTTGAAGTATTTTGTTCAAATTTTCGGTGCAGTAATAATTATTTAGTAGTTTAATTAATAAATACTAATAATATATAAGTACATAATTTTATTTTAATAATATATTATGAAATTGATATGTTGATTTATATATTTAAAAATTTAATGTATACATTCATTCTACAAAAACCCGGTATACTCAAAAAACCAGGAACCCTTTTGTTTTGTTGCTATTTCAAGGAACATATTCAAAGTGCTCGTTGAGACCTTTCAAATGATACCCCATATCACATAAACACATTTTTGACCCGCTGTACTATTTATATTATGACAACAAACTCCATTGTGCATTTATGTATTAAATCTCTTGTAACTTTCAAACCGTTCCATTAATATGAATGCTGTATTTAGGAAATTTGTGCAGAATTAAATTATAAACAATATTGTCTAATACTATAACATTCTACAGCAACTCGGTATAGTAATAAATGGGAAATATAATTAGAAACGACATTTACACCTAGCTTTCATTGACATTGTACATTGTATGAGAATTAATTTAGTGTGCTTTTATTTATTAAATCTCTTGTAGTTTTCAAACTGTTCTATTAACATGAATGATGTATTTAGGAAGTTTGTGCAGAATTAAATTATAAACAATATTGTCTGATATTATAACAGTTTATAATAACTCATTATAGTAATAAATGAGAAATATAATTAGAAACGACATTTACACCTAGCTTTCATTGACATTATATGAGAATTCATTTAGTGTGCGTTTATTTATTAAATCTCTTGTAACTTTCAAACCGTTTTATTAATATGAATGATGTATTTAGAAAATTTGTGCAAAATTAAATGATAAACAATATTGTCTAATATTATAACAGTCTACAGCAACTCGGTATAGTAATAAACGGGAAATATAGTTAGAAACGATATTTAAACCTAACCTTCATTGACTTAGTATGAGAATTCATTTAGTGTGCATTTATTTATTAAATCTCTTGTAACTTTTAAACTGTTCCCTTAATATGAATGATGTATTTAGGAAATTTGTGCAGAATTAAATTATAAACAATATTGTCTAATATCATAACAGTCTACGACAACTCGGTATTGTAATAAATGAGAAATATAATAAATTACATGTACACCTAGCTTTCATTGACAAAATGTTAATAATAAACTAATGAACTAATAATAAATGCTGAATTATAGTAACGATTTTACATATTTATAAAGTGCTCATTGAGACCTTTTAAATGACACCCCAATGACATGGATTTACGTCATACAAACACATTTTTGGTCCTCAGTACTTTTCATAGTATGACAATCTAGCTTTCATTTACAAACTAAAAATGGGTTCTAAAATTATACTAACGTTACCTTGAATAAACCATGATGATGCACAACACCTTCTTGATTCGATAACAAAGACAATAAAGAATATTCTGTGTGCAAAAGCATCTTGCCTTGCCTGTCGTCTTGATTTTCTTCCACAATATTATCAGCCATCATCAGAATCTTAAACACAAAATAATGCACATAACATTCTATACAAAACACATTTAAGACATATAAATTTCACTTACTTTTATTAAATAAAATTTATCAGTATTATCCTTCCTCGCCAAGCACTGCACAATACTTTTAACAGGGCTCGATCCAAGTTTGGGGCCCAGCAAATAATCCCCGGCACGTCTCAGTATATGTTTAGGCACAGGAGTCCCGTAAGGGGGCGCTAGGTCTTGAGCATTTTTTAATTTATCTTTATCGTTTATCAATTTTGTTGGTTCACATACGGGCACTTGTTGAGACTCGTTTGAGTCTGTGTTTTTTGAACATTCTGTTGTATCTAGTCTCATTAGTAGGTCGGAATTTAGGGATTTGTATTGCTCCATTGTAAGAGGTAATAGATTAATGATAATTAATAATTAGAATGATGAAATAAGCTTGAACTGTTTGTTTATTTTTGGGTGTACACGAAGAAGTTTGACGTTTGGTAATTGACAGTTGTTAGTCGTCCATCTTGAAAATGGTAATGCACATTTTTTAATATTTAAAATAGAAACCGCAATTTAAAAATGTGTAAAGGTGCATTAATTAGTAGGTGATTATGATTGAGTTCAAATTAAATTGTTCATTTCTAATTAATTTGTGACATAAATCGTTTTGACAGCTGACAGTTGAGTTGACAGGTTGTAGTCGTCCATTTTGAAAATGCAAAAAGACATTTTTGCATTTAAAAATAAAATCACTTTTAAAAATTCTTTATATGTACTAATTAATGTTTGATTATAATTAAGTTAAAATTATTGTTCAGTTTTAATCAATATATTACAAGAATCGTTTATCAGTTGACAGTTGATGGTTGACAGTTTGCAGACGTCCATCTTGAAAATACAAACACATATTTTGCATTAAAAATAAAAACATTAACAACATTAACACTTTTTTAATAATAATAATATAATAATAACAATAATTTAATGTTTTTTAACTATAAATTACAAAATAATTATTATTTATAAGTTATTTGATTACATTTGACTATCTTTCTATCAATAGATGCTGGCAACACTATACAAAACTGAAATGTCAAGAAAAAGCAAGATAACCTAAAACAATTTTGGATTCACGTGTTAGCATTTGCTTATAAAACATATTGTTGGAAGCAATTTAAGATATTACTAAAGTTCTGTTGAAGTTAGTAAAATAGTTGATATTATAGTGAATTTATTTCGTTGGTGTGCTTAAATACATTTAATATATTTGAAATATAAAAATATGGCAACTACTACAGTTGTTAAAGGAAAACCTAAATCTGGACGTTCTTGGAAATCTGATAGAGATAGGTAAGAAATGTACTAAAATAAGTTATATTTAGCAATAAGTAAAAGCAGTTGTATTTGTCAAGTAAATTTGCTTTACATACATCAATACAAAAATGAGTTTTAAGCATTTGTCAATCTACAAAGTATTCTGAGATCACAAACCATATATTTTTTTCTTGATACAATTGTATTTTGTAGAAGATAATTTATTGTCTTCTATAAGCGATAAGCACCAAAATGATCTATCGGTTCAGACAATTTAATATTGTGTCAAATCTTGCATATGTCTTCTATAAGCTAGGTACAAGTGCAATTTATTATATTTCTCATTTATTATTATACCGAGTTGTCGTAGACTGTTATAATATTAGATAATATTGTTTATAATTTAATCCTGCACAAATTTCCTAAATACATCATTCATATTAAGGGAACGGTTTGAATGTTACAAAAGATTTTAAAAATAAATGCACACTAAATGAATTCTCCTACTACGTACATTGTCAATGAAGGCTAGGTGTAAATGTCGTTTCTAATTATATTTCTCATTTATTACTAAACCGAGTTGCTGTAGACTGTTATAATATTAGACAATATTGTTTATAGTTTAATTCTGCACAAATTTCCTAAATACATCATTCACATTAATGGAACGGTTTGAAAACTACAAGAGATTTAATAAATAAATGCACACTAAATGAATTCTCATATAATGTCAATGAAAGCTAGGTGTAAATGTCGTTCCTAATTATATTTCTCATTTATTACTATACCGAGTTGTTCAAGACTGTTATAATATTAGACAATATTGTTTTTGATTTAATTCTGCAAAAATTTCCTAAATACATCATTCATATTAAGGGAACGGTTTGCAAGTTACAAGAGATTTAATAAATAAATGCACAATGGGATTGTGGTCATACTATAAATAGTACAGCGGGTCAAAAATCTGTTTATATGATGTGGGGTATCATTTAAAAGGTCTCAACGAACACTTTTTGACTATGTTACTTGAAATAGTAAAAAAACTAAAGGGTTCCTGGTTTTATGAGTTTACCGAGTTCTTGTAGAATAAAAGCATTGAATTATTAAATTTTATCTGTCGGTTTAAATTGTGTAGAAGATGTTGTGAACTAAAGTGGTTCAAGATAAATTTGTTGTATATTCTATGACACCTTAATGTTACATATATGTATATATAAATTTTCTTTCGTCTTTGTGTTTAAATTCAATAAGTTACTCTTACTTAATCATTTACACAAAATGTTTAATTATTTAGTTCATTATGTTAATCATGAAACATGCAGTCATTATTTATTTCTTAATTACATTATTTTTACTCTAGCAGTTTTGAATATAAGTCGAGTACAGTGTATTAATGTATACCATCTATCATTTATCCCTTTCCCAGGTTTTCCTCAGTAAAGAAAACGAAAGGCATCCGCAAATCCTTCGAAAAGAAGCAAATTCTTCGCCAAGAATTAAAACGCACAAAAGAAGCCTCAAGAGCCGTTTTGCAAAAGAGACAAGAAGAAAAGGAAGAAAAGAGGAAAAGGCGTGAAGAAAATCTAAAGAGACAAGAAGAGAACAGGAAAAAGGCTGAAATCGTACAAGTAATTAAAAACGTTGCCAAAATCAAGAAGATGAAGAAAAAGCAGCTGAGGTCCGTCGAGAAGAGGGATACGCTGAATATGTGAATAGAATGGTTAGTGTTAAGTTTTATTTATAAAGACTCTTTATAAAGAATTTTCTTTATAAAGATGAGTCTTCAAGGGCTTATATGCATTTTTGCAATGTTACATAATAGTTATGTATTGATAAGTTTTGTAAATAAATAAATAAATTTCATATAAATTTAATCTTTAATATCACAATTTTAAAATTCATTGAAAGTTGAGTTAATTATTAATAATTTTGCAAATAGTATTATAAACGTTCGTAAAAAGTATTTTTTATTTAGGGCAAATTTCAATTCCAGCATTATAAGAAGTTAGTTTTGTAGGTTTGTTTTCTCGACGTTTCAAGTCGTTCTGAATCGTTTGCGACCAAAATTGTATAAAATATTATGCCTGATCTGGTATAAAAAATTTAAAAGCCATTTGATTAAACTCAATCAGTATTTGCGGTGATTAATTTTGTGCGACGATCAGTCGAACCGTTTCTTTGTACTTAGCAAATGAGTGCAACAATGTAAGAACAGGAACTTGGGAAAAATGAATGTCTTTGTTTACAAATTGAAAGTTCAACCATTTGTTATACGTAATTCAATTAGCTTTCTAATGATATATTATGATACATAAACGTTTAAACAATATTTGTTTTTAAATATATTTGAAATTTGAATTTCAAATCTTAACGGTGGTTGTAAACGCGCGAACTTCACACTCGAGGTATTTTGTCCACATTTACGTGCAGCAATTCTTATTGTTCAAGAGGTAATTAAATGTTTAATTAAAGTCTTTTGAAAGTTGAGTTAATTTTTAATAATTTTGCAAATGGCATTATAAACGTTTGTGTAAAAAAACATTTTTTATTTAGGGCAAATTTTAATTCCATCATTATAAGGAGAAGTTTGTTTAAGCAGAAAGTTAGTATGTTCATTTTCTCGACATTTCACGTCGTTCTGAATCCTTTGAGACTAAAATTGTGTGAAAATATGTATCAAAATTAGTTGATGTTTTTTCAAAAACGGCTGCTGTGTTTTCAAAAATTTAAAAGCCATTCGATGTAACTTGATAAGAATTTGCGCTGATTAATTTTGTGCGACTGACTGACTTACTAGTATAGCATTTGCTATAAATTTGTGATAATTCTTGAATATAGGATTTTTAATTTAATTTCTCGGTTAGAGTTTCCTATTAATTTCTTTTAGTTTGCTCATCAGTAGAATCTCTTTTTTAAATTTTCACTTGGTTTGTTCGTCAATAGCGTTCCCTTTTTTAATTTTTACTTGATTTCAGTAGAGTACCTTTCAATTTTCTTTTTATTAATTTTTTACTTAGTTTGCTCGTCAGTAGAGTCCATTTCTTTCATTTCTTTGATTTGTTTGTCAGTAGTAAATATTAAAATTTAAAACTTTACACATTTTTCTTATTTAATTTTGTTTGAAAAGTTTTTAAACGCTATATATAGATTTGTAGATAATTTTATTAGCTTTTTATTAATATCTAATACAATTTTTTATTTATAATAATATAAACGTTGATACAAAAAAATGCAACCAATAAACCTAATATTATAATTCAAACTTTGTCTATCAAAAGGACATAATTTGGAAATATCATCTTTAATGAAAACGAAGACTTTATATTTAAGATAATTAGATTCTCAGAAAACATTATCATAATATGAAACTAGCTAAATCTCAATTTATATTGATTTACTCGATTAATGTTATTTACAGATATCTGGAAGTTAATGTAACTTGCTTAAACTTTTACACTTACTTGGTAGTTTATTCTTAAAATTATTGTTAACATACAAATAAATATACACATTTGTAGATAAACCAATTAACTTTATAATGATATATCAATTATTGGTTAAGCTCAAATATCTTATTGAAAATTGAAATCAAATATAAAAAATGCTCTTTTAGCAAATTTGTACCAAATAGAATAAACAGAAATAGTTTCTAACATTATAATATCGATATACTTATAAATCATCTGTAAAGTTATATTGATTTCTTACTCATCTTGCCTTAAAGCAAAATGACACTTACACTTATTTAATTAAAAAAGATGGATGTGTGTGTATGTATGTATGGATACAATTTTTCGTCCACGTTTTCAGGCGCACGGATCCACCGATTTGAATGGTTCAAAAAACATTCGATTCCTATTGATAGGGAGATGTGCTGATTAGTTTTTGGCAAAGGCAGGTCCAGCAGTTGCGGAGATAAAGAGCAAAGAGTGCAGAAGATAAAAATCGAGTTTTTGAGAGAACAGGGCATCCGATTTGAATGATCTAAAAAAACATTCAATTAGTAATGATTGGGAGAAGTGGTTATTAGTTTTTGGCAAAGGCAGGCCTAGCCATTTCGGAGATACGGAGCTAAATGTGCAAAAAATGGCAGTTTTTGAGAGGACTAAGCGTCCTATTTGAATGATTCAAAGAACTTTCTGCTTCTTTTAACAAAATAATTAATTTTGGAAAAAAAAAATTTTGTTCCAACTTTTTTTTATTTTTAATTTTTTGTATATCGAAAATAATTCACATTTTAT